TTCGGGATTTGAAGCAAAGAACCTTAAAGTATCTTCTGAGCGCTGGAGCTCCAGTAAAATTCTGGCCATACTTCATGGTAGAAGCTTCCATTGTACAAAGATCCGAGGTTTTGCAGCTAAGAGTTCCGAAGGGACAGCCACACCCAGGTATGGCAGTGGTCGTCGACAGACATGCGTCCGAGCCTTTCGAGACCAAAGTCGAACAAGCGACATATCTTTGCCAGGACGAACATTCGAGCCGGGGCGCGTTCTGTCTTGTAAAGCGGAATGGCAACGAGTATGTTATCCGAGCACGGGCCCCGGCGAAGTTGCCACCCCAGGCTAGGACCTGGCGGACTCATACCACGCCTAGCGGAGACGTCATTTGGCTTGCCGACAACGGCGAAGTACGTGACGCTGAAGCCATGAATGATCTGGGCCAGGAGCTCGGAATGCTGACCTTCGAGGAGAGACAGCTGGGCCCTGGAGATGAAGAAGGTTTCGAATTCTTTCAGGTGGCCGAAGCAGTATGCAACAGAGCCATTGCAAGTTCGGAGGTCAAGCCCGAAACAAAAACGAGCAGCTACAAGGTGTGGTCAGCACAGATTGAAAAGGAGGCATATAAGGCCGAGGCAAGAGCATTGGATGAAGCCGTGGAGTGTGAAATTGAGGATGATAGCCATGTCCAGTTGGATGGTCGGGTTTTCACGGAGGGTCCTGAGTGGAAGAGGAAAAATGGGTTTCAGGCTTGGTGGAAGAGCTCACCACCATGTTCGACAATAAGCAGGCCCTTGAGAGACTTGATAAAAAGACACTGCGACAAGCGCTAGGCCTCAATCCTGGAGATCCTTTGCCAAAAGCGTTACCATCAAAACTGGTGATCACAGCCAAGCCAGACGGGATCCCTGGACCTGATGGCAAAGTTCCTCCAGTACGACTTGAAGACGGAGACACGTACCGAGCAAAGGTACGCCTCGTGGCATGCGGAAACTATGATTATGATGTTCGCAGAGGGGATCGGAAGTTTAAGTCAAGCAATGTTCCTCCCGAAGCCATTCGAGCAATCGTCAGTCTGGTGGCCCAAAACCCTTCCTGGGTCTGCGCTTTGATGGATATTGTGACGGCTTTCTTGAATGCTGATTTAGACGATTCCGAAGTCATCTTGTTGCATCCGCCACCCATTCTCCGAAGACTTTCCAAAGCAGCTGAAGATGAAGTTTGGCTTGTGCGGAAAGCGGTGTATGGACTTCGTGCCGCACCAAAGGCCTGGGAGAAGGCCCGAGGTGCGAAGTTGAACAACGCAGTGTTGAAGCCAGGAGCTGAGGACAAGCTGGGAGAGCTGGCATTGGTGCCATGGAACCTCACAGCGGGCCTATGGCGAGTGGTTCGAGCTAATAATCCTGGTGAAGTTTTGGGAGTTCTGGGAATGTATGTAGACGATGGGATTCTAGCAGGGTTGCCGGAGGTGGTGCAGCGTGTTGGAAGTTTTATCCTTGAAAACTGGAACACAAAACTTCAAGCCGTACTGTCCAATGCAACGTTGAATCTTCACGCTGGAGAAGCCTTTAAAATTGCTGGAAAATCCGTAAAAATCGTCCAGGAGACTACATTTCTTGGTATCCAGATTCGGCGACTGGAGGATGGATCACTTTTTCTGACGCAAGAGAGCTGGATCAAGAGGGAACTGCAGGCAAGAGGCTGGAAAGTCCTTAACGGAACCAAGTCACTGCCGAGCATCAACGAAGGCCATATCCCACAGCAGGAGAGGGATCAAACACACGCAGAACAACTTCGTGAGTGTCAGAGTCAAGTGGGAGCATTGCTTTGGGTGAGTTTGCGCACGAGACCGGATTTGAGTGCCGCAGTTGGAATATTGGCATCGCACATGTCGTATAATCCATCCGAAACACTTAAGATCTTGAAAGGGATGTGGCGTCA